GTGTTTTAATAAAGCGCCACTTTATTACTTAGGGGAGAGAGTCGCCTAGTAAATACAAATAAAAACAAGTTTTAACAATTCTTGTTTGATAATAATATGATATATTATTATGTTTTTGTTTACGTTTTAGTTTGTTTAGTAACCTTGCCAAATCGCCGAAATTTATCATAATTGTCGTTTTTCGACGATATAAAAATCAATTCTCGCCCTACTCCCCTGACGTATAGGCAACCAACATTGTCAAGGTCGCTCGTAACACGTGCCGCAACATTAAAGGGAAAGGGTCAGAATCCCGACAAGACCTTTTTCGCGAATAACTATTATGGACAAGTGCTTTTTTCAACTTTTTTAATTAAACCACCGTAACAATGCCTTTGGGCCCAAAATGTTAAACTTTTTTAATCATCTCTCTGTCATTCTGTCAAACAATTGGTGTATGCGTCTGACAAAGATGGCTTCTTTACGTAATTACTATAGCAACTGGAAACAAACAAGAAAGGCGGGTCTGACTTTCACGTGGTTGCTAACTACGTGGGCGGAGTCGAGCCAAAAAGGTGGGGCTTCAAGGAGGCCATCATGGAAATTGTGACGTCAGAGCGGTCTGGAGCGGAGCGCCCTCTCGATGGTTTGTCTCCATGGTAATCAAGCAAAATCGCTTATCACCCAAACATTTACATAATGGAAATATAGGAAAAGTGTTTTTAATGTAAAATAGAGATAAATTTTTATTTGTGTTATCTAATGTTTTGAGTCTAACAGACAAAGGTCAAACACACGATTAAATTGTGTAACAACCTTAAATGTCTGCATTTCTGATAAGGAAATAAGAAAAAATAAAAAATCATTGTGCATGTTTGAACCTTGAGTAATAGAGGTCAAACTCGTTTCGGATCGATTTCGATGAGATAACATCAGCAGGTGCAATTTAACCGTTATTTTTCTCTGCACTTTAATGATACACTCTTCGTAATAGAAAATCGAAAATTCAACTACCGTTGTAATAAATATTCCGAAAAGCATGAGTTGCATACTAAACAGTTAACAAGACCCCACCTTTCGCTTTTGTTATCATATTTAATTGTGTTTCGGTATTAAGAAGGTCGTTGGTCTTAATTTATTTTACTTTCATTGCGAGGTTAAACCGATAAAAACAGATTTTGTTGCGTTTTTAATCGCTTTCGGGGCAAGCTTTGTGCTCATTTATCCGGGGAAAATCTCGGCATGCATGAGCAAAAAAGGACCTCAATTGCGTGAGAATTGCCCTGCATGTTGAGCTTTTTCTTCGCCAACCATGAATTACAATAAAGGTTATTGCGTGGTGATTTTTTCCAAAATTGATTGATTGGGAGCTGCCATAAAATACAAAGTCAACAGGTTTGATAAGTCGGCAAACACAATCTAAGTTCAAGGCTGAAATTCATTGAAACAAAAAAGAGGGCACTGATTTATCGTTTTTTCTAAAAAGGAGTAAAAAAATTAAACAAGGTAACTCAAAAATTAAAGGAGAAACGAGGAAAGAAAGATAATAGGAGACAAATTTGAAAAAACAAAGATGAAAACAATACAACTCATGGGTAAAAAAATAGCGGTGGAAAAGAAAACGAAATTTTCACAAAAATTATGAAAAAAAACAGAACATTTAAAAAAATTAAAATTGAGTTAAAAAACTACGAACAACGTTTAAATCATATTAAATTAGTTTAAAAATTAAATTTGTTTTTTATGTTGCAACTGCAAAAGTGTAAAACAATCTGGCATATTAGACAATCAAAACGAGAATAAAAACTCCATAAAAATAGAACAAATATGAATAAAAAGAAGTAAAAGAAACAAAAAAGTAAAATGATGAAATTATTTCAAACTGCGTTCCTTCTAATTAATTATAKAACGTGTTTTTAAACTGTCAAAACTGCTTTGTTTTTGTTACAAATGACAAAATCCTAGCTGGAACACCCTGTGTAATAATAAAACATGCCTCAAACAAAAAATGAGCATCAATTTATCACTTTTTCGAAAAGGAAGGAAAGAATAGAATAAAAAATTAAAGGATAAACGCGAAAGAGAAATAAAAATAAGAAACAAACCAAATTTGTAGAAACAAGGGACAAAAAAAAACAAAAAGCCCAAATTACAACGAATTGATAAAGTAAGCCAAAAGAAGTAAAAAAAATACGAAAAGCGTTTTTAAATTAGAAATTCTCTTAAAATTCTCATCTAAATAAAGCACAAAAATGTACAAAATTATTTTTTTTTGCTTTTGATTTATTACGAACAAGTAAGAAAATGTTAGCTGAAATAAAACAAAAAAGTGGGCACTGATTTATCGTTTTTTCTAAAAAGGAGTAAAAAAATTGAACAAAGTAACTCAAAAATTAAGGCGAAAAGAGGAAAGAAAAATAATAAGAGACAAATTTGAAGAAACAAGGAAGAATAGAATACAACCCATGAGTAAATAAAAGAAAAAATAGCGGTAGAAAAGAAAACGAAATTTTCACAAAGAGAATTATGAAAAAAGACATAAAAGTTAAAAAAAATTGAGTTAAAAAACTACGAAAAATATTTTCCAAATCATATTAAATTAGTTTAAAAATTATTAAACCGAACTGTTAAAATCGTTTTTTTATTTGCCACTGCAAAAGTGTAAAACAAGAAAATTAAATAACATATGCCGGTCAATATGGCTTATTAGACAATCAAAACGAAAAAAAACAAATGTGAATAAAAAGAAGTAAAAGAAACAAAAACGTAAAATGATGAAATTATTTCAAACTTCGTTCCTTCTAATTAATTATATAAAGTGTTTTTAAACCGTCAAAATGATTTGTTTTTGTTGCTGAAACAGCCTGTGTAATAAAAAAACTTACCTCAAACAAAAAATGAGCATTAATTTATCACTTTTTCAAAAAGGAAGGAAAGAATAGAACAAAAAATTAAAGGAAAACGCGAAAGAGAAATAAAAATAAGAAACAAACCAAATTTGTAGAAACAAGGGACAAAAAAAACAAAAAGCCCAAATTACAAAGAATTGATAAAGTAACCCAAAAGAAGTTAAAAAAAATACGAAAAGCGTTTTTAAATTAGAAATTCTCTTAAAATTCTCATCTAAATAGAGCACAAAAATGTACAAAAAGACTGTTAATTGTTTTTTTGCTTTTCATTTATTACGAACAAGTAAGAAAATCTTAGCTGACACACACTGTGAAATAAAACAAAAAAGTGGGCACTTATTTATCGTTTTTTCTAAAARGGAGTAAAAAAATTGAACAAAGTCACTCAAAAATTAAAGGAGAAAAGAGGAAAGAAAACTCATGTGTAAATAAAAGAAAAAATAGCGGTGGAAAA